TATTAACTAATAAAATGGCAATCATTATAACAATCACTTTTTGTAATTTTCACACATAAATACAGCACAATAGTATATTTTGAGTACGATTTTTACTGGATTTTCTATCGGAACACATCTTAGACCTCAAACACAGCAAAAGTAGTCGACATGTCATGCTCCCTCAATCTTGTCTGTGGTCTTTCTAGTTTAGCAACGGTTGCCGGAATGAATATGCTTTTGCTGGAAGCTTCCAATAACTAGTACAATGAGGCGCATAAACAAACAAAAGCCTAGTCATTCAGCACACAACTACTAGAAATACTAATATAATTGTAGCCTACTATAATGTTATGACAAGTCTACACTACAGTGCAAAGTTCATAAATAGAAGTGAGCTTAATGTGTTTTGGAAGAAGTAGTGGATTACTCTTTTCTGTTTACTGATTAAAATTTACCTTATAGATCTATACTATATGCAGAAGTATGGACTATTACTAGTCTACAGGTATCTTCTTCTTCTTAGTCCTCTTTGCTCCTTATGGAGCATAGGGCCTCCACCATTTCCTTCCATTTCTTCCTATCCTCGGCTATTAATTTTGACATCTCCCAAGACATCCCTATTGGCTTCAGTTCTTCAAGAAGACTCCGCCTCCAGGTCTGTCTTGGGCGCCCTCTCTTCCGCTTTCCCTGGGGGTTCCACTCAAGCGCTTGGCGTGTAACATTTGTGTGAGCCTTTCGCAGTGTGTGACCCACCCAGCGCCATTTCCTCCTTCTTATTTGCACACCTATAGGCTCCAGTCTACAGGTATACATTATGTAAATGCTATTTGTTGTAGGCAAGACAGTTCATTGCAGTAAATATAACTAACAAATTAAATCTTACAACCTGAACTAGGCTTTGGTATACAAATGAAGTATACTAAACCTTATAAACGAGCCCGCAACTGATACCTTTATTCTTGTTATTTTTTTACTACTAGAAATTAACATGTAATTACAATATTTCTTAGGTAAACCATAAGCAAACCTTCTTATAAATGTGTAAATATCATTTTTTGAGTACATTTCGATAAGTAATTATCAAGGCAATATTTATGTAACTCCACCTAACAAATCTGCAATTTTCTAAAAAATCCTAAAAAAAATGACCGTGTGCCCTGACGGTACTTATAAGTCCACTTGTAAACATTGATCTAATACAAAGACAATTTGATTAAAATTGTATAACTAGAAGTTAAACGCGTTTGCCTGACTATTGAAGGTGCCAATAAAAAATATTTGGGGTTGAAAACTTGAAAAATAAGGTAAAACAAAAGGAAATCAGAAACGGGTGTGAGAAATGTACAGAAAAATTGTGAACTACCGATATAGCAAGACATTGAAAAAGCGCCACACCATTAACTTTTTTAAAAACATTGATACCTCCGACAACCGGCGACTCGGGGGAGATAATACTATAAAATACATCAATAATTTTTAAAATTCGTATTTAATTTAAAATAATACAGGCACTTAATTAAAGCGGTACTTATAAGTACCGTCAGTAGATAAAGGGTTAAAGGGACGGGTGTTGAGGATTTGCAAAAGAGTCAGAAGATTCTTGCTGGCAATGGTGTACTGGTAAATCATGCAGTGGTTTCCCCTTGATTTTGGTACTTAAAATTTTTAACTTTTTTTCTGAAGCTCCAATTCCAAACAAAACATGTTGGTTCAACAACCATACAAACTCCATTTTAAGTATCTAGTTTTACATCCATCCATGTAATTTTGCATCGGGATCGGCCTATACCCTTTGTGTGAGGAGTTTGGTAAAATATTTTGCCCTATTTAGTTTAGCCAAAAGCTTATCTGTATCTGGAATGGGTTCTGCATCAAAGACTGACTGCGTTGAGTCTCTTATTTTCTACACAGAGTCTCTTATGGTCTACACAGAGCCTTGTCAACCCATCTTTTTTTTCTTACCTAGTATCACTGGTGCACCGTAGTTGGATTCGGACCTCTATTATCCCCAGCCACTCCATTTCATCCATCTCTTACTTCATAAGCTTTCTTTGGGCGTATGGTATACAATACAGTTTCATTCTTACGGCTCTGGTATTTGGTCAGCTTTATTTTATGTTCCAGTAACTTTGTTTTTCCTGGTAAGTTGCTAATAATTTTTAAAAAATAGCTCAGTTCTAGTTTGTTCAATAATTGGGGCTTCAATATCAGTAGTTCTTGATCCCCAACTTTGATATCTTTGGTTGTGGCTGAACTATCATAGTAATCTTTTTCTTTCCCAAATTCTGATTTCCTGGTTGCGTACCCGCATGCTGTTTGCAACTTCTGTTTAAGGTCCAGCAGATAGTGAAATGCAGGTCTAGTTTTATATTCCCTTGCCTCCCCTGTAAGGATTGACCATAAGGGTCATCCATCTATGACGTCCACACACGTAAAAAATTGACTTTTGTGGAATAGTGGGATGGATTCAGGTCAATGTGGATGTCCACATGTTGAATTTAACATTAAACTACTTATATGTAAAATTAAAAAAAAAATACTGCATATATACAAATTAAATCTGCAGTTCTCTTCAGTCTTGGTTCAATGGGTGAATAAATGTATCAGGTTTAACTGTATGCACTTTTTACTATGTCCAGAACACTATGTCCCAGCTTATTTTCCTGGTTATAGCTTGTCCTAACTTGGCCTCTAGTTCCTATCGCTGCTATTGTTTGTAACTCGTCCCTAGGTAATTTTGCTTCTCCTACATTACCTATTATAAGTTCTGTAGTACTCCTGTCCACTGTTGGTCTCTGATTGGACATTCCCCCTGCCGCTGTGTCCCTCTCCTCCACAGTTGGAATGTTTTAGTTGCTGTTGTTTTGGGCTACTGTTGGTCTCTGATTGGACATTCCCCCTGCCGCTGTGTCCCTCTCCTCCACAGTTGGAATGTTTTAGTTGCTGTTGTTTTGGGCTACTGTTGGTCTCTGATTGGACATTCCCCCTGCCGCTGTGTCCCTCTCCTCCACAGTTGGAATGTTTTAGTTGCTGTTGTTTTGGGCTACTGTTGGTCTCTGATTGGACATTCCCCCTGCCGCTGTGTCCCTCTCCTCCACAGTTGGAATGTTTTAGTTGCTGTTGTTTTGGGCTACTGTTGGTCAGGTTGAACTGGGCTCTGTCTTCTGGGCTCCTGCTGATGACGGTTTTATTTTTATGATGACGGTACCATTCACCTGTAGTGGGGCTCTGAGATCTAGGTCTCAGGTCACACTTAACAACTGAGGTTTGTTGCAGTAACCCCTCTCCCTCATCAGCAGGTAGTGACCTGATGTCTCAGTTTAGAAGATAGGATTACATCCATACAAACTCCTTTATTACAAACTCCTTTATAAGTCTCCAGTTTAAAAAAATATTGTCCTAATTATCTTCTTTATTATATCTTCACTTTTTGTATTACAAAAAGTTCTCTACTAAATAGGTTAAGGAACCCTTTTATATCTTCTGAATGAGCATGTAAACAAATGAGAGCACTAGCTTATGTCCCTTGTTTTATCAACTTGAAAAACAAATAATGATGAAAGCTTGGTTTCATTCAAGATAACTTGAAAAACAAATAATGATGAAAGCTTGGTTTCATTCAAAATCTTTTTTTTATCATCTACTGCCTTGACTGATATACACCATTGAATAGCATTGTTAGACAGAGATGTCTTCTCTGTCCTGGAATCCTAAAGGATTAATTTTTATAACAATCTTAAATAATTCTATTTTTGCTTTATTTTCAACTTAATTTTCTGTAAAAATTCAATCCTTACTTAAACAATATGTTAAAAAACTTTTTTTTGGTTAATTTTTCTTTGTTTATTTTTTATTTTTTGCCTCAAACATTCAAAAACAGCCAGATCTATAGACTTACATAAGCATAGGCTCACAGCCCATTTCTAGACTTCTAGGCATAGGCTCACAGCCCATTTCTAGACTTCTAGGCATAGGCTCACAGATTTTTTTTTCCTACCATGCTCTTTATCTCAGCAGGAATGATTGTGGAGGGATAACTCCACCCCTTCTTCTGGCTCTACCACTGTGAGGATAGAAAGGTTCTGCTCTTTTATTACTTAGCATTGAAACAAGTGTATTCCCCAATACTTTTTAGAAATATTTTGTGTACATTTGAGGTATTTTTAGTAATCTTGTTTTTTTTGTATTTGCATTAAATAGATATGTATAATTTTTCCAGTTGTAATTGTATTTTTAAGCATACAATTGATTAAATTTGCATTGAAATTGTACCTGAATTGAGTTTTTAGATTGTTTTGTATAGTTGATGATTGAATTAAGAACAATCTAATGTATGCTAAAGATGATTCCCTTTAAATGAGATATAAAGATAATAAACACAGTTGGACCAATCATAAAAGTTGTTGAACTAGTTCTAGTTGGACCAATCATGAGAGTTGAGCTAGTTCTAGTTGGACCAATCATTGAGTTGTTGAACTAGTTCTAGTTGGAGGCGGGTATCAACAAGGTTTTTATCACCACATGTGGCATCAACTGTTACCTGTGGTGGTCAAAAATTGCCAACCACATGATGCATCAACTGTTACCTGTGCTGGTCAAGACTGGTCAACCACATGTGACATCAACTGTTATCTGTGCTGGTCAGACTGGTCAACCACATGTAATATCAACTGTTACCTGTGCTGGTCAAGACTGGTCAACCACATGTGACATCAACTGTTACCTGTGGTGGTCAAAAATTGCCAACCACATGATGCATCAACTGTTACCTGTGCTGGTCAAGACTGGTCAACCACATGTGACATCAACTGTTATCTGTGCTGGTCAGACTGGTCAACCACATGTAATATCAACTGTTACCTGTGCTGGTCAAGACTGGTCAACCACATGTGACATCAACTGTTACCTGTGGTGGTCAAGGCTGGTCAACCGCATGATGCATCAACTGTTACCTGTTACTACATGTCAAATCTAACACAACTAATGACAAGCATTGAACACAACCAAACGACAAATGGTAATGATTGAAATCTACACTTTATGACAATTTTGAGGACATCTTTACATTGTTTGCTGGAAATATCAGGAGCTATTTGTTAGTAAGTGGAGTTTTTTTAAGGGATTTAGTGGGAGACTTGTTCATTTTCAAGACTAATGACAAACTCAATTGTATTCTTTTTGTATAAAACAACACAAAACCTCAGCGCATACATCCACCCTCACCATACTAAAACTCCTGTGACCAAAACATAAATAAAAAAGAACAGATTATCTTGACAGGATAAAACCCACACATTGAGAAACACCTTATTAGTTTTTACTTTAATCACTACGTATTCGGAATCAACCATTCAAGTCATTTGTTTGGCTTGTGTGTAAGGCTTTTAGTTCATGTTGGAGCTCTGGGTACATTTCCTGTTGACTATGTACTATGTGGATAGAGTGCCAAGCTGATTTGATACTTTAGTACCATCCATAAGCCAATGGGAAGTTTTGATAGTACCATCCATAAGCCAATGAGAAGTTTTGATAGTACCATCCATAAGCCAATGAGAAGTTTTTATAGTACCATCCATAAGCCATTGAGAAGTTTTGATAGTACCATCAATAAGCCATTGAGAAGTTTTGATAGTACCATCCATAAGTCATTTAGAAGTTTTGATAGTACCATCCATAAGCCATTGAGAAGTTTTGATAGTACCATCCATAAGCCAATGAGAAGTTTTGATAGCCAGGGAGTTTCCAAAACCTTCAGTTTGTCATTGATTCTAAACTAAAGCACCCTTCCTTTTGAAACACAGATCTTTACAGATATAAAACCCAAGTTCTGTTTTAGACTATTTAAAAAATGTTTTAAACAGCTATGTATACTAAAAGTATAACTATTTTAAAATGCTGAAAATGAAACTTTTTTTTTTCACATTATCACAAGGTCAGTCTGGTAGAATGTGCTTCCTTATTGTGCCTGTTATTCAGTCAACTATATGTGTCTGCTTATTGACTTATTGTGTCTGTCATTCAGTCAACTATATGTGTCTGCTTATTGTGATGGACATTCAGTTAACTGTATGTGTCTGCTTATTGTGTCTGTCATTCAGTCAACTATATGTGTCTGCTTATTGTGATGGACATTCAGTCAACTATATGTGTCTGCTTATTGTGATGGACATTCAGTCAACTATATGTGTCTGCTTATTGTGATGGACATTCAGTCAACTAAATGTGTCTGCTTATTGTGACTGTCATACAGTCAACTATATGTGTCTGCTTATTGTGTCTGTTATTCAGTCAACTATATGTCTGCTTATTGTGTCTGTCATTCAGTCAACTATATGTGTCTGCTTATTGTGTCTGTTATTCAGTCAACTATATGTGTCTGCTTATTGTGACTCATTCAGTCAACTATATGTGTCTGCTTATTGTGTCTGTCATTCAGTCAACTATATGTGTCTGCTTATTGTGACTCATTCAGTCAACTATATGTGTCTGCTTATTGTGTCTGGCATTCAGTCAACTATATGTGTCTGCTTATTGTGACTGTCATACAGTCAACTATATGTGTCTGCTTATTGTGTCTGGCATTCAGTCAACTATATGTGTCTGCTTATTGTGACTGTCATACAGTCAACTATATGTGTCTGCTTATTGTGTCTGTTATTCAGTCAACTATATGTGTCTGCTTATTGTGACTGTCATACAGTCAACTATATGTGTCTGCTTATTGTGTCTGTTATTCAGTCAACTATATGTGTCTGCTTATTCAGTCCCATTGTGATGGGCATTCAGTCAACTATATGTGTCTGCTTATTTTGTCTGTATGTATGTGTCTGCTTATTGTGACTGTGTCATACAGTGTGTGGCAGTATAATGAATATGTGTCTGCTCACTATTACGTGTGTCCAGTGGGTGTTTAGTATGTCCAGTTAGAGTTGAAATGTCCAGTCTTTATTTTTTTGAAGTAAATATTCTCGCTACACGCCCAATTATAAAGCTACCAACTTTACCAATCAATTTAGGTAAGATAAACTCCACAACAGTCTGAATTATATCCACAAAAATGTTTCCCCTTTCCTTTTTCTGTTCCTTCTCTAACAACGTTGCTTGCTCTCTCTGTAATTCCAGCATCTCCTCATTTTTTCTGTCAATTTTTCTCATTTCTTCCTCCAAGTTAGAAATTTTGTCCATCAGATATTGTCTCTCCACATCTTGTTGCAGGCGACATTGTTCCTCTAACTTTTCTTTCTCTTGCTCCCACTGTTTTCTTTCCTGTTGTTTTCTCCTGACCTCAAGGGTAGCAGCAATCTGAGTGTCAACATTCTGACAAATTTTCTCAGCGGTTTGAATCACTCCTTTCAATGTTCCAGTGTTTTTGTCCTGCTCTTTGATATCAGCCAGCAAAGTTTGAGCACGAGTTTTTAATTCTGTGAGACTGGTGAGCTGGGCGTCCAGGTCATTGAACTGTATCCTAGTCAGGTGCTGGGTGATGATACTGGCTTCCCTCCAGCATCTCTCTTGGAGAACTGGCAGCTTCAACTCAACCAACAGACTGTCCCTTTTTTTCTGGGCCTTTTTAAAGTTGGCATCCACATACGGGAGGTCACTGATCATCTTGACCATGTCAATCAGTTGATTCATTTGATCCTTCTTCACTTGTTCATCTTTAGTTTTATTTTCAAACAAGATGATTCGCTTCTGGCACTCTTTAAACAAAAATCTAAAGCTCCCTGTCTGCTGTTGGCACCAGCCCTTGAAGTTGGTTCCATTTTCTTCTTCATCAAAATCCCCCCCATGCGTCATGATAAGTATGCACCACTTTCTGACAAAATCCTCACCAAAAATACTTTTGAGAAGTTGTACTGCTTGCTCGTCCTCGTGCGTGAATCTCTCACCATATCTGACAACAAGTAAGAAAGCGTTGTAACCTTCAGTGTGGAGGCTGATAGCTTTTGTAAACTCACGGATGCAAGCATGGCAATCTTCTTCCTGGGAGAGGTCGGTGTCCCCCACCCCCGGTCCATCCACTACGGTCAACTGTGTTCCCTCAAATTCACCATACCCCAAGTCAATAGTTTTGGTCAGGGAGCTAGTGCTGGAACCAGACTTAAAATAGGCTCCCCGCAGAATGGTGTTACCAGTGGAACTCTTGCCACTACCAGTTTTACCAATCAGCAACAGGCTGATATGTGCAGGTTCTGCTGACATTATTTGTGGTAGTAACTGTAAAAAACAAAACAAATAGATACAGTAGTATGATTCATTACTGGCTGGATTATCATAAATACAGTTGCAAGTTATATTAGTGGCTGAATAGTCATAAATACAGTTGCAAGTTATATTAGTGACTGGATACTCATAAATACAGTTGCAAGTTATATTAGTGGCTGAATAGTCATAAATATAGTGAGTTTATTAAATATTAATATCTTTTGAAATTTTTAACTACAAAAGTTTATGTATTAATTACAAAAGAGTAATGTAGACCTATCTATTATTAGAAACATCATTATTTTTTCAGAATGCAAGATATAAAACCAGTGTGATTTACCTTTTGTTTTGATATTGATTTGAAGCTCGTTTAGATGGCAGTAGGCGTGGACGTGAGTTATCCTTTAGATACCCCAACTGTGAAGACCGATACAAAAAGCACAAAGCATGTGTTTGTTCCCCAGGCTACAAAGTTGACTGTAATGTAGATCTCATACTAACCACCAGGACGTAGATCTAGTGGCCTACACGTAGATAGTGGCCTACACGTAGACTGGATTAAATGGACAAAGTCGTGCAGCTGTTGTGACTGAGACCACTCTAGGTGAGTTTTTCATTCGCTGGCATGGAGGGATTATTTTTAGAATTTCGTCGCTTTTCGTGAAAATCGGTGCGGGAAAACCCAAAATGACGTAGGTACACATCTGTAAAGAAGGGAATTCCCAGTGGCTGACACAGAGCTGTTTGGTTTTACCGAAGAATGTCATTTCGCTTTTGGATTGTTTCTATACTAAGGGACATTTTAAGTTTATTTGAATAGTAGTTCATAATTAACTGTTAATGCTTCTTAAATTCTATTAAAGGTATTCAATATATAATTTAGCGATCCACACTTTTCTTTTTAGCTATTTAAAAAGTAGTTCGTTATTATATACTAGCCGTCCCGGCCAGGCCCTGCTCTGGCTTCTGTGAAAAACCTTTCCGTTAAAGACCATTACCTGTGTGTTTAGTAATCATCATAAACCCGGCATTGCCCACCCAAACCACAACCAACCAAAACAACAAAACGCAAACATAACGCTAACACAATTAGAAATACAAACGAAAACAAAAACCTAACAACAAACCCAACCACAACCACAAACACCAATACAAACACAAAGAAAAAACAAACGAAAACAAAAACCTAACAACAAACCCAACCACAAACACCAATACCAAAAAAAAACAACGAAAAAGCAAACGAAAACAAACCAAATCCAAACGCAAAACCAACCAAAAACACAAATACAAACCCAAACAAAAAAAAAACAAAAACGAAAAAAGAAAGAACAAAAACGAACCAAATCAAAACGCAACCACTAACGCAAACCCACCTAAACACAAAGAAAACACTAACGCGAACATAAACGCCCGGGGCAGAATCGCCTGTTTTAGCTTAATAAACGACTATAGTACCCCAACTTATTCATAGTTTTTGCACTCACTTAAACGAACGCGCCTGTTTCAATTTAATGAACAATTATAATACTCCAAGCTTATCCGTAAAATACCTAAAACATTTGCACTTGATCAATCCCCGCTAATTATGTAATTATTTTTTTCCCAACACCAAAACAAAGTAATTAAAAAGTAAATGCTTTTCAACTAATGCAATGGGTTTCATAAAGGGAAGTAATTGTGTTTTGCCTAATTTATCAAAGGGAAGTAAGCGCTATAGGACTAAATAAAAACATAATTAGAATTTTTGTAAAAGATGATATTTTTTTTAAAACTTGTGTTTAATGAACATGCCGGCAATTATTACTATAATTTGAAAAATGAAAATGATTTCCCAACACTTTTAATGGTAATTTTTTAACTCATAAATTTAGACATACGCGCACGATAATTGATCTAACACTTAAATCCGTAGAAATGCCAACGACAAACATATGCGTTACAGAATTGAGCTTTATATATTAGATTTAAACTTTAAAGATAACATTTTATTTTCCCCTTTTTACGTTTTAGTGCATCATTACATAAATGCTTGTTATCAAAACTTTTTAAAACGTATTTTTAAAAATATTTCCATTCCACTCCAGTTTTGTTGATTTAGTTATAGATCTAGATAAGAATGGCTACATTTGGCATGTTGTATATGCGTGGCCGAGTGATCATGTTAAGCAGTAGCTCACACAGTAGAACATCACTACCCACACAGTAGAACATCACTACCCACACAGTAGAACATCACTACCCACACAGTAGAACATCACTACCCACACAGTAGAACATCACTACCCACACAGTAGAACATCACTACTCACACAGTAGAACATCACTACCCACACAGTAGAACATCACTACCCACACAGTAGAACATCACTACCCACACAGTAGAACATCACTACCCACACAGTAGAACATCACTACCCACACAGTAGAACATCACTACCCACACAGTAGAACATCACTACCCACACAGTAGAACATCACTACCCACACAGTAGAACATCACTACCCACACAGTAGAACATCACTACCCACACAGTAGAACATCACTACCCACACAGTAGAACATCACTACCCACACAGTAGAACATCACTACCCACACAGTAGAACATCACTACCCACACAGTAGAACATCACTACCCACACAGTAGAACATCACTACCCACACAGTAGAACATCACTACTCACACAGTAGAACATCACTACTCACACAGTAGAACATCACTACCCACACAGTAGAACATCACTACCCACACAGTAGAACATCACTACCCACACAGTAGAACATCACTACTCACACAGTAGAACATCACTACCCACACAGTAGAACATCACTACCCACACAGTAGAACATCACTACCCACACAGTAGAACATCACTACCCACACAGTAGAACATCACTACCCACACAGTAGAACATCACTACCCACACAGTAGAACATCACTACCCACACAGTAGAACATCACTACCCACACAGTAGAACATCACTACCCACACAGTAGAACATCACTACCCACACAGTAGAACATCACTACCCACACAGTAGAACATCACTACCCACACAGTAGAACATCACTACTCACACAGTAGAACATCACTACCCACACAGTAGAACATCACTACCCACACAGTAGAACATCACTACCCACACAGTAGAACATCACTACCCACACAGTAGAACATCACTACCCACACAGTAGAACATCACTACCCACACAGTAGAACATCACTACCCACACAGTAGAACATCACTACCCACACAGTAGACCACACAAAAACCCACACATTTACACACACAGTAACACACAATTGATAATGTTCCAACATTTCATGTAGCATGACCACTTGTTACTGTCATTTAATTTATGTACTCAACTAAGTTATGTAAAATTGTTTTAGTAGAATATTTTTTTCTGACCACAGGTATCTGTCATCTAAAATAAATGGATAGTCCATCTGACTTGGATCTACTCTTGATTGGAAAAACCGGAAATGGCAAGAGCGCCACCGGAAATTCCATCCTGCGGCGGAGAGTGTTCAAGAGTAGCGCCTCCTGTTCCTCTGTTACCAAGAGAATCGATTACGAGGTCAGCGAGGTGAAGGGTCGTGTGGTCAAGGTCGTGGACAGTCCAGGTGTTGGAGACACTCGGCTCGTGAGCCCTGAGGCCAGGAAGCTCGTGATGTACGCCATGGAGTTCGCCGCCAACCCCCGGGGGTACCACGCCGCCAACCCCCGGGGGTACCACGCCGCCAACCCCCGGGGGTACCACGCCGCCAACCCCCGGGGGTACCACGCCTTCCCGTTGGTCGTCAAGTTTGGTGGTCGCTTCACGGGCGAGGAGCAGGACGCGGTGTGTTTCTTAAAAAAGATTTTTGGAGAAAGTTTTGTGCGCGACTTTTGTATCATCGTGATGACGGCTGGCGACATGTTTTGTAACGAAGAAAAGGGAGACTATTTTTTGTCCTGGTGCTCGAGACAGACCGGACCCTTTAAGGAACTTTTGGCAGAGTGTGAGAACAGAATTGTCTTGTTCAACAACTTACACAAAGCTGAAGCAGACGTGAAGGACGAACAGCTGACAAAATTGTTCAACATGGTGGACCGTCTACGGTCGAGAGGGAAGAGGTACACGGATGAAAATTTCCAGCTGGCTGCGGAGGCAAGGAAGCGTGTCATAATAGAATCTAAAGAGCCGGTGATCCGTGAAGAAACGTTGAGAGAGACAAGTCTCATCCTGCAGAAGCTTGAGACCATCCAAAACTCGCATGACGACAGAAGACAAGTCAGCCAGCTCGAGAACCTGCTAGTGAGGACTGAAGCTTTGCTGGGCAGTATCTCACATCTGGACCAGGGCACAGGGATACTGCATGAGCTCGTGCTGAATGTCAAGGACATTCACAAAAATGTCTCTGACGAGATCAAGTTTACGGTTCGCCTGCGTGCAGAGAGGGAGAGATGTAAACAAAGAGAGGAGACGATCAAACAGCAGGCTTTGTTGGAGATAGAGAGACAGAGAGCCGAGCTGAGACGGTTCATTGAAGAGGAGCAGCAGGCGGAAGAAATCAGACGACAGGAGAGAGAGGCCGTGGAGAGGACGTTCATTGAGGCCATAGAGAAGGAGCGGGAGGCACAGAGGGAGAGAACTGAGGAGCTGGAGAGGAGATACAGGGAGATCAAAGGTAAAGCAGACGAGGGGATCTTTACCAAGATCACAAGGCTGGTGACCTGGCCCTTCAGGGCTGTAGGGTCTGCTCTAGCCAAGTTCTTTACATAAGTTTCTTGTAGTGCATTCGTTACATAAGTTTCTTGTAGTGCATTCTTTACATAAGTTTCTTGTAGTGGATTCTTTACATTCCTACACGTCATTTAGATGGAACATATGCATATATTTAAAACACTATTCACAGTTTTTTGTTTCATCATTGACAAGTCTTTCATAAGTTAATAACTTAATATAGACAAAACAATTATTTCCGTTAGAAAGGAAAATCTGACCGGGAAGTATTGTTGTTTGATTTCGTGTGATTGTGGACATTGTACTTTCATTTTGTTGGTCGAAGTTATGAGGAAATATTTTATTTGTATATAAAATATAATAAAATGTTCACAAAAATTAAAAATTCAAATAAAATAAATGAATAAAATAAACAATAATAATTATTATTTTCATTTTTAAAAGTTTAATAGTTAAAAAAATATATATACTTGAACAAGAAATATACGGGAATCTCAGTAACAATTGTCTGTAGGTCATTGGTCGTGATCTTGTAGGTCAAACCGTACGGCGTCAAATCGACGCTTGACAAAATCACTCTTGAGTAAATCAAATGACTTCCGACAAAACCGCTCCTTCTAACAAAAATGCTACACATCAACAAGCTTTCTAACATAAACGCTCATTTAAACTCCACAAAAAGGGCTGCAGTCATTAGAACTTCCGACAAAATGGCCCCATTGTTACGGCACCAGGAAAACGGTCGGCGCGTGTGGGGGGGGGGGGGGGGGAGGTGATGTCCATGCGGTATCAAAACCAAACGTTTTCACCTAGCTATGTAGCCAGAGAATCGTGACACTTTTAAAGACTAAATATATATATACATATAAATACTTTTACCAACGTCCGCCCCCAGAAAATTTATTCCCCCCCCCCCTCAAAAATATCATGCCACCCCCCCGAGAAAAAAGTCTGCTTGATTTTATGAACATTTTTGGACTTTTTAAAAATCAATTTGACATTTTAGATCTTACAGCCCAGTGGACAGATGAAGTAGAGTTCACCCGTTTCAGTGACCCAAGGCCCGGATTCGAACTCGAGGCTTTGAGTTTAGCGTCGAACGCTCTACCACGCCGTCCCTGATTTGACTGAAGGTAATTTCCTAGAATCTTCCTCTCTTCCTAAGTAACTTGGCTTACCACAGAGTTTCTTCCAGGCATCTCTTCGAAGAAAGTCTATCGTCCCCCCAAAAAAATATCAAGTGCCCCCGCCCCCACCCCCCCCCACCCCCCCACCCCCCACCCCCCCCTGGAGAAAAAAGTCTGGAAAAACACTGGCCAACCATTACAGCAATTTGTTTTCTAGTGTGTTATTTTATTAGAGTGTAATTAATTGTAATGACTAAGATTAAATTTATGTCATCCTCGCGTACTTGATCCGTGTGTTTTCAGTAGGTAAAATGTCAGAATTGTGTAATATGCTGACGTTGTTGCAAGTCATGATTTTGTTGTTGGTTTTCTAAATTTCATGTCTTAGTTTAAAAATGAACAATTTCCCTATCATCTACAGTAAAAATGTGACCCCAAACTCCCCAGTGTAACGTGCTGTTATGTTTGTTGTTTGAGCCGCGAGATTTAGCCTAGGTCTATAGTCGGGCAAGTTCATAGCCGCATGCTAATTGATGTTAGATCTTGCTGTTTATTTATGCAGCAATTATATGCTATTATTTTTCGATAATTAAAAACTATATGCTTATTCAATTAAAAGTAAAATTGCGTTTTTGATCCGTACTTAATTAAATTAATGTAAAATGACGTCAATACAAGTAATTAGAGGGAAAGGGACGCAATGTAAATACAAGACCAATCGCGCGTAATTAATTCTGTGGAGGATCATTAATCCAGCGCTGTTATTGCTTCCATAATTAGTCACTGGGTTTGATTGGCTGAGTTTGTGACGGAGATCTCACACGTTCCCAGATGTGACAAAAAACTGTTTGACTTTTTTTTTTCTAGAAATCGTTGATAAAACACACAGACATTCCAGCCAATGGGATGGCTGGTTTCTGACGCCTCAACATTTGTTACATAACGTTAGGGTTTTTAGCTTTTTCGTTGGCTGGCTGCTATGTGGGTAACTAAGATTTAAACTATGTTGTAGACACCAGCTTTTGTCGTGGCTGGCTCAACGTTAAGTCAACTGTACATTGTTGAGTTTTATTTACGCAATAAAATGCTGATCTAGTTACAATCTATGTAAACGTGTCTCCGATATGAAAAGAGAAGAAACTATGGAAGAACTAGCCATCGAGAAACTGACAAACACAACCAATTTTCAAACATTGTTTGATGATGCGCCAACTACGTATGTGCACCAACTGATTAGCGATGAAATGAGCTGGTACGTCATGAAGATTCTCATGTTTGGTGTCACCCCCACCATCTCCCTGTTTGGTGTCATCGGCAACATCTTCAGCCTCCACATCCTCACCAAACACGGGCTCCACAAGTGCTCCAACATCCTGTTGGTCTCTCTGGCCTTCTCGGACATCATGTTCCTCATCTCCTTCAACAGTGTGCCGAAGATTCTCTACGAGGCCGTCTGGAACCACGAGTACCGAGAGCTGACAGAGCTGGATGCCCAGGTTTTGTTTGTCTTGTTCAGTCTCTTCACCCTCCTTGACTACACCTTTGGCGTCACAGGCCTGACTCTTCCATTGCTGATTACAATCGAAAGGTTGCTGGTGATTTTCTTCCCTTTGAAGTTCCGTCAAATCGTGACTCCGCGAAGGACGTGGCTTGCCGTGGTGGGTCTGTCAGCCTACTGCCTCTCCACCTTCGTCTACACCAGCCTCTGTACGGAGCTGTTCTACAGACCAGGTCACAACGGCAGCTCGTCCAAAGCCATCCTGCAGAAATCAAATTATTTCTACGCCAACATCGACACAGTCGCGTACATGGAGTATCTCATCGTCTACACGAACGTGGTTATCCCCCCTGTCCTGACCTCTCTGGGCTGTGTCGTCATCTCCATCAAAATCAAACTGCGCTCAATCAAAAGGCGGCAGATGACGTCAAAGGCCGTGTCCGGCACACGCACGACCAAAATGTTGCTGTCGGTGTGTTGTGTTTACCTGGTGACTGCCGCCATCCTCTCCGTACCCCACTACATCCCCCAGTACGGCTCGTACAGCCTTACAGAGGAGACGCCCTCCAACCTCGGCAAGGTCCTGTACCAGCTGGTCAACACGGCTGTTTGTGTCAATAGTTCCAGCAACTTTATCGTCTACATCGTCCTCAATAAGAACTTCAGGAACACATTTGTTGACTTGTGTAAGTCGTGGGTGGGCAAGACTTGGGGTGGGGGAGTCATTAGGTAGGGGGTGTGGGGGTGGGGTGGGTGAGTCACTAGGTAACGAAATTACCCTTAGTAGGGGTGTAGGGGTGGTGGTGGGGAGAGTGAGGTAATAGGTAGGAATACAGCACCAACTATTACAGGACGGAAATACATCACACAAGTCCACGTGGGTTTAAAAAAATTAATGAAATGATGTTAAAGTTAAACAAAAATTGATTTCATTTCCGTTTTTACATTCACGATAAACATGACAGAAGCACCGAACTAAGGTTCTAATTCAGGCTGTAAACTGATGACGTCAACTTGTATTCTTGTGTCACGTGTCAATCTGTCTGAAAGTTTTAAAAATAATGTAGGTCGGTGATTACCTTGAGGATTGCTACACATTATAAAAATATAAAAATGAAATTATTGTTTTTATTACAGTTACAGCTCATAAATTTTTTTTATTTTTAAAAGAAATAATATTCTAACTTTATCACGTGATATTTATCTTTCAATAATTGTTTTCCCCAGTGGTTGAACACGTCTATCTGACATCAACGGCGTTCTGCTGTAGTTTAGGTTGCAGCGCTAGTGTGTGTTTGGTCTGTGGTCAAATTCTGGGTATGCCTGTGGTCAAATCCTGGGTATGTATGTGGTAAAATCCTGGGTATGTTTGGTCTGTCGTCAAATTCTGGGTATGATCGTGGTAAATTCTACAACTCGATTTCGATCTACATCTACGAGAGCGACATTTACATTATTACACTTTAATTTATCCCTTTGTAAATGCATTAATTGTTTATATGAAAATGAAAAAAAAAAAGGTTACACTAGAATGGTAGCTGAAGACGTATTTTAAATATAACTAGACTAACCCGTTATCTAGTTAGATAACTGTGGGTTTCGGGGGGTCATCCATAAATGACATCACGTCTGCCAGCACTTATCATCCCAAAATAACCAGACCCCACATTCAAAAAGACGTTTTTTATATTTTAAAACTCTACTAAACTCTACTTCACCTGCCCAGTGCCCCGCCAAGTCTCAGACATGTTTGTATTTAAAAAAAACAACGATTCCGGCCGAGCATGGCTCTGACCACACTATCCCTTCATATGCTGAGAACATAGAAACAGGTGTACTCTACTTCACCTGCCCTATGCCTCGCGAGGTCCTGATAGTCAACCTTATCATTCACATACAGGCCTAAAGAAAAAGTAATTGAACATTGTTGTAGGAAAACTTTTAACGATTACTATAGTCAATGTTCAAAACTTTTATAATAAATGTGGTTAATCTACCTATGAATATATCAATAAAATAATTAACGGCTTTAAATTAGTTAAAAGTTAACAGTGTGTTCAAGAAAGAACAATATTTACCACCCAAAATCCTATTTTACAGCTCTACACATAATGCAGATTCTCCCCAATAACAAATAAAAAAACAAACAAAAAAAAATGAGTTATCAAACGTCACTATTCAGTCAAAATTAAGCCAGTGTTTCTAAAACTTTAAAAAAAATGTGGTTAATCTACCTATGAATAAATCAATAAATTAATTAACGTCTTTAAATAAATGTGTGATTAACAGTCTGTCTGCAATAAAAAATTGTTCTCTACCTACATACTATTTTACAGCCCCCCATATAGAGCAGTTTCCTTACAGTACGAAATCAGACAAACAAATAAATATTCAAACATGTAAACAAAGTTGAGTTTTAGTAGTATATACGGATCTACAAATATGATATATAACTTATATATGAAATTTCATCAACCTAGCTAGATCTAACATTACTCAAGTTATCGTGTTTACAGACACACACACGCAGACACACATATACACACACACAGACATACGGACAAGATTGCAAAACTATGTTTTTCCGACTCAGGGAGATGTAAAACGTCAAGATTTGCAAAAATCTCGATTTTTTTGCCCGATTACAATACTTTCTCTATACTTCGTATATACAGAAAGTAAAAATAAAACAAGAAATAAATTACTGGCCGTCAAAGAAAGAAATTGCTTCCCGTGATGAATGTTTCAATTTATTTTTATGAACATTTTATTTTATGCTTTATTGCGTTAGCACTTTAATATTTGCTTTCAGGTTTGAAGATTGTAAAAACTTTGTTTAAAAATATATACATAAGGCTTCTGTGGATGTAGGCTGAGTAGAATGAATTAGATTTTAGCATTTTTGTTACATTCAACCCCCCTCCCACCCCATTTTAATTCAGATCCTTCCTTCCATGACTTATGTGTTAAACCATCTCCTTGTTCTGACACATTGTTCCAAATTTTGTTTGACCACCGTTTCACGAGAACTCCACTTGAATTATTGCCTTTTTTTTTCAACCCAAGAGATAAAAACCTATAAAATAAACCGGGAATGATCTCCCCTAAACTTTCTCGAATATTCTTATATAAAACAACAGGGAATAGGAACTCCATTTTAAATACTTAAAGTTTTTAAAATAGAATAAAATCTCGTAGAAAAAAGAATTGCACATCAAGTGAACGCCAAATGAAATTTGCATAATAGTGCGCAATATTATTAGTACTTATAAATTTACATGCGTTTTTTTTGAGAAATCGGAAATAGCGTAAATTAGTTATTCCGTTCAACGGAAATTACTCAAAATTTGACAGAAGGTAGAGAATTAGATCTTTTACTTACATGTGAAATTTCATGTATCTATCTGAAATAGTACTCAAGTTATACGCTTTTGACAAAATCAAAGTAGAAAAAATACCTTTTCCGGTTATCGGAAATCGCTCAAAAGTTGATCAGGATCTACGATTTGGATAAAATACTTATGTATGAAATTTCATCAGCCTAGCTGTAACGGTACTCAAGTTATCGTGTTTACACACACACACACACACACAGACACACACACACACAGACATACGGACAAGATTGCAAAATTATGTTTTTCCGTATTAGTGAGGTGTAAAACGTCGAGATTTGTAAAAAGCTCGATTTTTTTTTTTGCACGATTACAAGACTTTCTCTATACTTCGTATGTACGAGAAAGTGAAAATGTGACATATTGTGCGTGACCTGTATCGAAAGAAATCAATCACGGCTTTGTAAATCAACAGCAGTCACCACAGATAAAAGATATCCCACCAGTAAATCAGGTTATAGAACACCAGCGATCTGATGCTAACATCACAACGCTGACGATAAAAAAAAGAAATGTTTTATTATTTGATTACATTAAACAACTTGTTATTAAAAAGGTTTTAAATATTTTCTTTACATTATTTTTTTTACATTTTTTCCTGAATGCTTGCGATATTTTTCCATCGATACATACACTAGTAGTTGCATGAGATTTTTCTTGCTGTATCGTCAGACCGCGAATATCAATAAACACGTGGTGTACCTATGTTATATGGGCACTGTTTAACTTCATGGTACTCAAACGTCCTTGGGTTAATTTTTTTCGAAATGATCTGTCACCAGTGAAAGTTAGGTGTAGTTACACAATTACCTCTCAGATTACCTCTCGAAATTAGCGACGGTTACACAATTACTGCAACACACGTTAACGTTAGAGACATCGATTTTTGGATTATAAAATTATAACTTTTTTTCAATTTAAAAAGCTGCGTTGATAAATGATTATGTTAATTAGTGATTGAGACATCTCTGGGAAAATCTCCTCAGTTTTTAAAATGTAGGTAAAAATTGTCTTAGACTAATCCTTGTACAAGACGTGGACTCAATGACTGACTCATGTGTCACGTGGTACCCGTAAATGACAGATAATGGAGCAGAAAATAGAGGAATCGTAGATCGAACAAAGAAGGATAAAACCTCCAGATAGTTGGGATATTTGTTTAAGTGGAACTTGACGCAAGTTCAAAGCCTCAAGATAATTAAATTAATTACCGAAATCGACGGTTGATTAGGGTTAAATTATTTAACTATTTCAATTTTTTACAAGAAAATACCGTAATCATTTGTCTAATTATCATTTTATAAATCATTACTTTTTCAAGTATTTCAACTATTTAGAAGAAAATACCGTTACCATTTGTCTAATTATTATTGTATAAATCATGATATACACAGCCTCGAAAAAGGCAGAAGTAAAGATTTATATTTGGAATATCTTGACTGACAATCTTACAAATTTTTACTGGTATGCCAACCTGACAATCTACGAGAGATATTTAACCTATATGCCAGTCTGACAATCTACGGGAGATATTTAACCTATATGCCAGCCTGACAATCTACGGGAGATATTTAACCTATATGCCAGTCTGACAATCTACGGAGATATTTAACCTATATGCCAGTCTGACAATCTACGGGAGATATTTAACGTATATGCTGCCCACTTGATAGTCTACGAGAAATTCTCTTGCGTGAGGTGACATTGAAGCAGGAGCGTTAACTCTGGTTTGAGCTAAAGAATGTCGGCCAACGTGACCCACAACGCGACACATTTCCACCTGCTTGATGACGAGATAACAGCCACGGCTAGCGTCCAATTTATCAGTAACGATATGAGCTGGTACGCCATGAAGATTCTCATGTTTGGTGTCACCCCCACCATCTCCCTGTTTGGTGTCATCGGTAACATCTTCAGCCTCCACATCCTCACCAAACACGGACTCCACAAGTGCTCCAACATCCTGTTGGTCTCTCTGGCCTTCTCGGACATCATGTTCCTCATCTCCTTCAACAGTGTGCCGAAGATTCTCTACGAGGCCGTCTGGAACCACGAGTACCGAGAGCTGACTCAGCTGGAGGCCCAGGTTTTGTTTGTCTTGTTCAGTCTCTTCACCCTCCTCGACTACACCTTCTGCTCCAACGTCCTCACCCTCCCCATGCTCGTGACGCTGGAGAGGCTGGTGGTCATTTTCTTACCGTTAACGTTCAAGCGAGTTATCACACCCGTTAGGACATGGATAGCCGTTCTTGGAGTGACGTCATATTTTCTTGCAATTTTTACCTACACAAGTTTCTGGACTCAGGTCAACCACGCCAACCACACGTCCGACAACCACACGTCCACCTCCGTGTGGTACATCCAAAAATCTAGTTTCTTCTCCAACAACCTCCAGTCCGTGTCTGTTGTTGAGATGATATTCACCTACTCCAGCACGACAATCCCGCCCATCATCACAGCGCTTGGGTGTATTGTCATATCTGTGCAGATAAAGATCAGCTCTTACAGAAGGCGGCAGATGACGTCAAAGGCCGTGTCCGGCACACGCACGACCAAAATGTTGCTGTCGGTGTGTTGTGTTTACCTGGTGACTGCCGCCATCCTCTCCGTACCCCACTACATCCCCCAGTACGGCTCGTACAGCCTTACAGAGGAGACGCCCTCCAACCTCGGCAAGGTCCTGTACCAGCTGGTCAACACGGCTGTTTGTGTCAATAGTTCCAGCAACTTTATCGTCTACATCGTCCTCAACAAGAACTTCAGGAAGACTTTCTTACAGCTGTTCCGTCGACGTTGATAACTGATTTAGTTTCATGTTGGTAACTGTTTTGGTTAAATGTTGATAACTAATTTGGTTTGATATTGATAACTGATTTGGTTTGATGTTGATAACTGATTTGGTTAAATGTTGATAACTGATTTGGTTAAATATTGATAACTGATTTGGTTTGATGTTGATAACTGATTTGGTTTGATATTGATAACTGATTTGGTTTGATATTGATAACTGATTTGGTTAAATGTTGATAACTGATTTGGTTTGATATTGATAACTGATTTGGTTTGATATTGATAACTGATTTGGTTAAATGTTGATAACTGATTTGGTTAAATGTTGATAACTAATTTGGTTTGATATTGATAACTGATTTGGTTTGATGTTGATAACTGATTTGGTTAAATGTTGATAACTGATTTGGTTAAATGTTGATAACTGATTTGGTTTGATGTTGATAACTGATTTGGTTTGATATTGATAACTGATTTGGTTTGATATTGATAACTGATTTGGTTTGATATTGATAACTGATTTGGTTAAATGTTGATTGCTGTTGTATAAACCTCTGATTTACCGCCCGAGAATTTCGTTGGTTACACAATTATTTTACTCGTGTTTTACTGGTTGTCATGGCAACCCTGTGTGGTGTGTTGGTAAATAACCTGGCTATGTTAACCGTTATAGCCGTCAGGGTTTAGCCACCATGACTATCAGTTTGTTCCACAAATTTAGATAAATGACCTTCGAATAAACCACCCGCTAGAGAAGAAGTGATGGACGCGGTGTTCTTGCAAACAGTGAGTGACAACCAACTTAAGGCTACTGTACTGAGAATACATCTTGGTTGCCATGGTTTCCGTGACCAAATCTCGCCCTTGTCCTCGATATAGGTTTTCAAGATAGTTCGTAGTGCGTTATTGAAAAAGACTAGCCATCGGTACCCGTTTCACGTGAATTATAGGCCTATATATATTTTAAAATGTTGCACTTGTTTGAGAAAAATAATGTATGAAATAGTTATCGGTTAAAACGCAATGTGCCTTACTACACGTTGAACAATATTAGTGACCATGCAAATATATAACTAAATAGCTAAAAATCCGACACATTTAAAGTAACATAGACTACCAATAAGTATTCGAAAAATTAAAACCAAATTATATACATTATATTATATACATTATTAGCAGAGGCGTAACGACCCTTCCCGGAGCCCGGGGACAAACTTTCGATTAACACCCCCCATCAAGATTTCGATGTGCACCCCCCCCCCTCCACTTTCGATTTGCACCCCTTCCCTCAAGCTTTCAATTTATTTTTCCAACCCATTTTGGCGCCCCCAAAGGTCGGCGCCCGGGGATATATGTCCCCCCTCCCCCCGCCCCCTCTCGCTACGCCTCTGATTATTAGTCAACAGAACGCTATCTCAAATGCACACACTGATTAAAAGACTTATGATTCCGTTAAAAATCTAGCTATTCAATGTTCAGCTTGTTGTTTTTTTAAAGTAATTTGAATTAGTTTGAGCGATAAAATTGTATATATTTCATAGCGCACGTCTTGTTGAGTAGATGTGTATCTAAATCAAATTAAAAAGAAGTAGTTCATTTCTTTGTATTCTAAAATCGGAAGATTCACACATAAAAAGAAAATTAAAGTTTGGCTTGGTGAGTCTCGAACCCGTACCACGCGTATGGTATCAAGTACACTATCATCTCAGCTATTTAAGCACCCTATGAGTTATAGATTCTAGTAAGAATAAAAGAGGTAGTTAAGAAATTTAACTTACGCTAATAGTCTAATATGCCTATTCTTTAAAATTAAATTTTTAAACCCAAATTAGCCAGTTTCATAGCTAAGCAAACAAAGATTTCTATAAAATAATTAAGGCTTTAAATAGTTTATTATAGAAATTTATTATTGGAATAGATTCTAGAGTAGATAGAGTCTAAATCTAGAATTTAGATGTGATATCCGGCGAAAATATTTTGCAGACAGAGAGAGAGAAGTGCGCACATAGGCTTTTATATATTAGGATTGCTCAATTGCTGCTGTATATTTCGTCTAGCCAGATTCTTGTTGCATATTTCGTCTAGTTTTAAGTATGGTTTTACAACACGTTTAGCCAGAGTTGTGCTGTATAGTTTGTATAACAGGGCGCATGAAAAAACAGACGACAAGAAACGAGCTCTGTTTAATATATTTGAAAATCTTGGTAGACAGTCCCAGTTTCTGTCCAAAATACCACGTGACCACACTTTCTGTTCACTTGGTGCTACACCTTCCCCAAGACCAGAGGCCAGACCTAATGCTGGCATCACCGAGGTTTACTAGAACAACCCAACATGCTTTATCCGTTCAAAAATACACAGCTGTTAAACTCTACACACAAAACTACAAAGCAGCTAATTTTCTGCACACACAATTATTTTTCATAAAAAAAAAACGTTTTAATAACAAGCTTTTATGTAATAAAGCACTATAAAGCAGAAAATAAATTATACACTGCTATTTAATTAACTATAAAGAAAAACGTGGGTCACTATTTTATCTATTGGATACCTTTATTTTACTAATATTTAGGAAGAGACCCACGCTTTTCCTCATAGTTAATGAAATTGTAATATATAATTTATTTTCTACTTTTTAGTGCATTATTACATAAAAGCTTGTAAGTAAAACGTGTTTTATGAAAAAAATAATTAATTTCACTACTTTAAATTTTTAAAATGTACAATAGAGTTTGCATTACTAAAAACCACTGCGCACCTTATGAACATGATGACGCTTGTCTAATAGTGCGGAATAGTTTGATGAGACAGCCTACTACTTTGGACACAATTTTAATTAATTTATAAAAAATAATTAGGCAACCAATTAAGTGAAATTTAATGTCATGTTGCATTGTCTTCATGCCTTAACCCCCCTACCAACTACGAACCTTATCAGTAGGTTAGAAGTGCCCGTAATTTTGCTCGGGGGTTTCGATCTAGACAGAGACAGTGAATTAAATAAAAGCTTGCAATAAAAAAATTTATAAAAAACCGTTTTAATAACAAGCTTTTATGTAATAGAGCACTAAAAGCTAGAAAATAAATTATACACTACTATTTAATGAGTTTCTTTAAATATATAGTAATATAATACAATATCTATCTTCTATATATATATAATTCTCTTCATGGAGACCATAGAAAACACCACGCAGCTTAGCCTCCACCCTCATCCCCACCTGTCAGGTGAGCTGTGGGTCACCCAGAAAGTTTACAATAGTAGAGCCGGTTAGAATACGTGATGGCTATTAGGGGCAGATAATTTAGTTTTTAAACGATTTGAAACTAAGAGGAGATAATAAGTTCTGCTTGATAATTTAATTGTCGTCTGTAAACGGCTGCTTTCACTAAGCGGGGTGGGGTGAGCTGTGGGGGGGGGGGGGGGGGTAGTGTAGAATTCACGAAATTATGAATTGTTGATAAGTAGAAAATAAAACAACTATATAGCGGCGTATGCTACTTCGCGGGTCAGCTCGTTGTTTATATAACTATAAAGAAAAGCGTTGGTCGCTTCCTAAATATTAGTAAAAGTATCGAAATGATAATATAGTGACCCACGCTTTTCTTTATAGTTATATAAATAGTAGTGCATTATATTACTATACATTTAAAGAAATTCGTTTATTTTCTAGTTTTTAGTGCAACAGCACATATAAGCTTGTTATTAAAACGTTTTTAATGAATTTTTTTTCCGTACTTTAATTTTTTTAATGCAATGGATTTGCATAACAAAAAACCATTGCACACCTAATGAACGTGATGACGCTGTCTAATAGTGCGGAATAGTTTGATGAGACAGCCTACTAATTTGGATAGCGTTTTAATTAATTCATAAAAAAATTAATTTGGCAACCAATTAAGTCAAATTTAATGTCATGTTACATTGTCTTCATGTCTTGAACAACGTACCAACTACGAACCGTACCTGTCAAATAGAAGTGCCTGTACTTTCGCTCGGGCGTTTCGATCTAGACAGCCTGACGACAGACTGACGACAGACTGACGGCTGACGACAAAGGAAATGAGTTAAATAAAAGCTTGTAATAAAAACACATAGTAGCTAAATTATACACACAAAACTACAAAGCAGCTAAATTCTACACACAAAAATACACAGCAACTAAATTCTACACACAAAAATACTACAAAACAACAGGTCTATATTTTATAAATGGCTTTACCAAGCATTATTTTTTAAGAACGGTTTAATTTAAATTTTACTAGCTGTCCCGGCCAGGCCCTGCATTGGCCTCTGTGAAAAACCTATCTTAAAGAACTATGACATGTGTGTTTAGATATCAACATATACCCGGCATTGCCCATCCTAACCACAACCAACCAAACCAAAACACACAAAAAACGCAAACATAACACAAACGCAAGCACAAATACAAACATAAACGAAAACACAAACACAAACAAAATCCCAACCGCAAACGCAAAACGCAAACACAAAGAACAAGACAAACACAAACGCAAAAGAAAAAGCAAACGAAAACAAACCAAATCCAAACGCAACAAAAACCCAACCACAAACGCAAACCAAACACAAAGAAAACACAAACGCAAACATAAACTCAAAATGTTCAGTCTAGCCCGGGGCGCCAAATCGCATCATGCTGGGGCGCAGACGGAACCGCCTGTTTCAGATTAGTAAACGACTATAGTGCCCCAACTCATTCATAGTCTTTTGCACTCACTTAAACGAATGAACGTAGGTGTCATAGCGAACACGGGAAGGCCCGGGGCGCCAAATAGCCCCCTGTCGGGCGCTGGATGACGCCCGGATTCGATTCAAATTAAGACTATAGTAACCTTTCTTATCCATAGTCTATCGCTCTTTTAAAAATGAAATTATACACCATAGCGTTCACAGGATAGCCCAGGGCGCCAAATCAAACCATGACGGGGCGCCGGCAGACGCGCCTGTTTCAATTTAGTGAACAACTATAATAACACAAGCTT